AGGGTTAGATGAGAAATTGAACAATAACTGGAAGATTTAGTGAATTGAAGAGATTGCTCGAGTTTCGAAAATGATTCATTTTCTATAATATCGAAAAAACAAGAACTAGCTTAAAACGACAAATGATTCTGGATAAATAATGTTCGAAGATATTTCTGAAATATATGCGAAATGTAGGTAAATAGAGGATCCTTATGAACAGCTATAGCATGTTCTGCATGCAACTCAAGATCATGAGACAAAAAAGGATGAAAAGAAATAGATCTATCGTCTTTACGAATACAAACATAAATCTGACTGAAATTTTCCCTAGTTATCATTCAAAATAACTCTGATTCGAATGATGATATCTTCGATAATTTTAATCAATTTTAGAATCAAAAACTTCTCGGAAAATACGATGCTTGTATTCATGAAAACATTCGCAGCATTAACGTTACGACAGAAAAATCTTCTCTTTATGCAAGATTAGGACAACTGTGATCAAAGCAAGAGGAGAACATTTTGAAACGGAGTTTTTCTAGAAAAATCAACTTTCCTGAGGGGGAATGTGGTTCTCAGTGTCCGTACACATTCTGAATTTTTCAGCTACTCACTATTTAGAACATGATTGCTTTGTCTTTGTCCGTCTAGAATAGATATTTTTGGTAGTTGTAGAACGATTTGTGTAAAAGGTCATTTCGAAATAGCACCATTCTGTTTTACTTTCTGAACAGACGCAGAAAAACTGCGCTTCTTTCCATTTAATACTCTCATATGAATTAAATCGACTTTTGTTGGATAAGTAACTGCGAATTCAAAAAAGTTCTTCCTGCATATTTTATTAATTCAAGCGAGAATGGAGAGATTGATTTTTAATTGCACTTTTAATTATGAAGTCTTAGAAGTTCAGTCGTTTCTCTTCATAATATTATTAGTTAGAAAATTCTAAGCAAAATGAATTCATCTTCTTTCTAGGTACACTCATTAGTATTGGGGAAGCAATGATAGAACTTCTTTGCACTCATTGCAGGACAAATTAGAAAAGCATTTTTCTCGAGAGAATGACAAAGACAAAGGATAAATACAGAATGCTATTGTTTTCATTGCATACGAAATTCATGACCCCATGGATGACAAGGACGAAATGAAAGCTTGAAAAACGTACGCGAGAAAAAGAGCGGGAAAGAAAAAAAGGGAGACTGTCCGATTGAACTCTTTTTTTTTTAAATTCAATATTAAATGTTGAAGGATCACTTAATGAGTTTGTTTTATTGAAATGTACAATTTTTATTTGATTTATGAGTAGATATGAGTGTGTGGATACTATGATGAACAATTCCTCCACTTATACTATTCTCTATTTATATTATTTTAATTGTGGTGAAAGACTACAAATTCTGAAAAAAAAAGGATCAGTCAATTATCTTCGAATAAAGTATCATTAGTAGTGTAACGTTGATTAAGACTCATGAAATATTACATTGAGCAGGTTCTTCTGTCGTATGAGATGATGATGATGACTGGGATCGAATAAGAAGCTTTTTAAGAGCATTGACAAATCGAGCATATTCATCGAGTTGAAAAATATCTTGTCCATTGTATCGAGATTGAATTCGAGACCTCAATCGATCATATTCAGCATCCATACGTATCGATGATTCCGTGACTAGTTTTGCATAGACGAGAAATTCAGTTCCATCAACAAATGTAAATGTATCAAATAGATAATCGGATAAACGATTCTGATGAAACCAACATTTGATTTCCTCGTATGTCCATTGATCAGGTGGAAGAGCCGATGCCGCTTCAATATTGTACAGAGAACGTAAACTTCTAAGTGATCCAATCAGATTGGCAAATTGTTCTCGACTAAGTCCACGATGACGCATACATGTTTCATATTCATCGTATAAAGCATCTTCATTCGATAATAGACGAATATAAGCAAGCAAAGCTTGACCAGAAGATAAATCAAGTATTGATAGAGGTAATTGAAGTATATGCTGTAGATCGACATTAGTCCACTGTTCGATTGGTTTTTTACTGACAGATGGAAGACTTAGAATAGGGACAATGTCTGGTGTTGGCGAATATGGCACTGATTGTGTCGTTAGAGTTTCAATGATTGGATTTGAGATTAACTTTGAAGGTGGTGAGATTGATGACGATAAGGAGAGAATTGGATTTGGAATAATATTTTGAGCAGTTTGAGTTGGTGCCTCGTGAGATCTCATTCTGTCGAGATTTCGTTTGGTTTTATCTGTTGCATGAATCAAGTTAAGAAGAGCTTCCATCACTATTTCATCACTTTTATTATCTCCAAATCGTACAAAAGTAGCTGAACCGACACGAATTTCAAACCAATCTTCCGGCTGATACTCTTTTCCTTGATAGACAGGTATCATCCGTTTATTACGTTTATCGGCATGAATTACTTCACGACGACAGCTTTTCGATGTACAATAATTTTCAGTAACAAGCATAAGAACAACATCACATTGTGTAATAGCACGAGCGATTTCTTCCCAATCATCATCATAGGGTGGTTTTAATTTAATAAAATCAACCCAGATATCACCTCGAACGCAATTTTGAAGTTGACTAACAAGAGTTTGACATAGTTTCATATCTTTATGTGCATAAGAAATCATCACTTTGACATGATCATAATCTGTTTCAATGTTATCAATTATTTGAAGATCTGTTTGAACAAGATCAAGATTAAAAAGAATACCTTTTGCTGCTCGTCTCATAGCAACAATATGTTCATCATTGGATTCTGTTTTGGACATTTGCACAACAAATCGAATAAACTCATCGTTTTCTTTTAATGTTACATAATAATCTGATTGAAAACTAATTGACCAAAAAATTGTATAGAGTGAAACACAAATCAATTCATGTAAATCATTAGATTCGATATTACCATGTCTTGTACATAGATGATTAAATTCTAAAAATTTTCCAAAAAATAAATCGAACATATTATCTTTCGAAATAATATATCGAAGAAATTTATCATTAGCAACTAATTTAGCTAGACCAGCTAGATATTCAGTTACATTATAAAGGCCACAATTAAATTCAGATGAATTAAATGCTTGAATTGTTCGTTCAATAATATGATCAAGTACATTTTGAATACTAGTCATATTTTCTTTTTTCATTTCTTTTGGTTCAAGTAAAATTACATAGAGAAGATAATAAGCAACAAGAATTTCTTCAAAAGTTTTCATCATATTAGCAGAGGGTAATTTAGAAAAATATTGATTTTTCCATTCTTTAAGAATTCCAAGTGTTTTCAATTTGTTCAATGCATTTATACCAATCCAATGACGTGCAAAATTATATAAAATATTAATAACAAGAAACCATGTATCTAAAGATATTTTCTTGTCGAAATTTTGTTTTCTTTTCATCCATTCAAGTATAGCTTCAGGATAACCTGTTTTAATAAAATATGGAATAAATCCATAAATATCTGCTATATTGAGTAACCACTTCAAAATTAATGCATCACTTTCTGAATGTTGACGATCATCTAAAAAATAACTATTTAAATAAGTTATAAATGCTTGAAGAAGATGTTCGGTAGTATTTGTCAATTGAAAAAAATTTGGCGTTGTTTTTCGTGACACACACATCGAAGAAGAACGACTTGTTTTATAATAAACAGCTCGTGAACTAATATAGCAGAATAAATTGAAAATTTGTTCATCAATATTACTTTCATTTGATATTGAAAATGATTTTTGAGTAAGATAATTAATTGTTGAATCAGTTGTTAACCAAATAAGTGAGACTTTAAAGTAACAATCACTCATCAATGGATTTGTTTCCATATCGATAATCAATTGAAGACGAATAGTATCCAAAAGAGAACATACAAAAGATGAGGATATTTTGGACGTAAGTTGAATGAGAAATTGTCGAAATAAATTCACTTCTAACGATTGAAACATGAGAAGTAGTCGTTGTTTTTCATCATTTGATACTGAATTAGAATATTTTTCAATCTGTTGTAATTGATCATGAACAATATTCAACGAATTACATAACTTCTCATCATGATAATTTCCATCAAGTAAAATTGTTTCTAATTGACGAAGTGCATTTGTCACTATTTCATTGACAGTCATATTGACGATAGCTGTTGTAGAGAAAGCGAATCAAGTACTAATATTCTTTCGATTAGGTAACCCTTCTATTACCTCCTACATTTCATGATTAATCGAATGTTGTTGCCAAATACAAACGACTGCATGTGCGATTGCTAGACACACTACTCAATTGAAGCACAAAAAATTTGCCAATATACCTGAAGCAATTCAAGATCAGAGTTTCGTTCTCTTTCGGAGCTATGGTAAATAATAATATTAAGTACAGTGATTAACTTCGAAAAATATTGATTCATATATGCGTGTGTTCTGAATATTCAACAGTCAGAATGACGCTGAGCTTATTAGGGCATTTGAGATTTCAATATGTATGTGCGTATAATCATAGAGAAATTGTGGGTGCTTAGATGTAGGAGTGGTTAAATAGAAGAGTTACACTCATACTCATAACTATTTCGCTACTCTCGAGATCTTGTACTATTAGAATTTCTCTGGTCGAAATATTCACTTTTAGAAGCTTTCGTAAGACACACTTAAAAACTGAGAGTTGACTACTTTTTTTAATGGATTTCGTCGGAATTTTTTAAAACTCTTTCTACTGTTGCATATCTTCAATTTTTCAAAATTTGACGACCTTGGTTGGTTGAGCACGTTCGGTCGTGGATTATATGCACTTGCTGGTAAACTGCTTGTGAAAATGACATGAAGTCTTACAATGAAATCAAACAGTACGCTTTCATTTTTTTCACAAGTTTGAATATAACGAGTGTAGGTCTTCTGTGTTTTGATAGGTTTTCTCACACCTATGATTCAAAAAACTGAAATAGGCACTCAATCATCAAAAAGAAAAAGAGAATTAAAGTTTTGCACCGTTTTATTAACTCATAAATGATCATGAAATCAAATTATATTCCATTGTTGATCACTTCCATCAAGTATTTTATTGACAATCTGTTCTATAGTTTGCATAGAAGCTAGAAAGTCATCTTCGGTACGACTTCGTCTTTGTAACTGTTTCTCAGATGAATATGCTGAATTTTCCATACTAAAGACATTGATGTTTTCAGGTAATCCCAATTTTAATAGATCGAATTCTAGATTGCATGATTTACAATGGGTTACTACTACAAACAATTGTCGAAATTGTTCTGTTGTTGAAGAATACATATCGTTTATATATTTTTTAATCTCATTTGATAGATTTTTTCCATTGAAATTTCTCGCGTCAATTACCAGCATGATTCCCGCGAATTCATCAATATCAAGTAAATCAACTGGTTTATTACCGCTCAGAATTTTATTATCATCACTAAAATTGATTGTGTCAATAAACACAATATTTTCACGATCATCGATAGGAAATCGATAATAATTAGTCATCGTTGCTTGTACATAACTATCCATATTTGTGGTTATCAAAGCATGAGATGGGTTTACTGTTGTTCTCAGAATACGATTATAAAATGTACGTTTATTTGCAAAAAAATTGGCAGTATAATCGATGATTGTCGACTTACCTAAAAAGATAAGGAATATTTTAGTAAGTATTTGTAGTAGTTACAGTATGACCACATACCAGCTCCTATCTCGCCTATAACTAATATGTAATGATTGACTATTTGATCAGTATTGGATGGTCTTGAAATATTGAGGATCTTCCTCCAATCGATTGGTTGTGTTTGAATAATAATAGTTTCCGGTAAGGCCATCAATTGAATCATATCATTTTTGAGCTCATCAACTTTTTGTTTCAACCGTTCAAGATCATTTTCAATTAATTTCTCTGATTGTCGATGCTGTATTAATTCGTTTCTTAAGATTTCAATTCGTTTTTTAACAATATTATTTTCTTTTTTCTTACTGAACAATCGTGTTACTATTCCACGAGTTTCATCAGCTGTTCGACGACAAGCATCGATTGTTCTTGTTTGCCATTCATCGATCTGTTTTAATAGAGCTCGAACATCGTCATTATCAAGTGAATTCGATGAACGATTGATTCTCATATGAAAATCTTGTAGAATTTTATCATGTTCATTGATAATCTTGTTGAGATCTTTCTTGAGTTTCTCTCTATGTTCGCTTAAATGCTTTTGACAAAAATTTTTAGCACATCCATGACACGGCATAGTCACCATTGATTTCTTCGATGCACATATGTCACATAAAATTTCAGTTTTATTCGTAGAAATTTCTTGAGAACTAACGGATGATGATGGTGGAATAGTAGTTATGACTTTTGGTACTGATAATGGTGTATCTGTGACTTGGACTTTCTTATAATAAATATTTGTAACAAGTGAGATAAACATTTGTTCAACATTAGAACCATTGAGTGCTGATGTTTCTATGTATTGAAAATTGAATTGAATAGCAAGAGTCATTGCTTGGTCGTATGTTACTTGTCGTCGAGTGACCAAGTCTGATTTACTACCAACCAGAATAATGGATAGTTCTTTGGATCCATATTGATGCAATTCTTTGATCCATTCAGCAATATTATTGAATGTTTTTAAGTCAGTTAGATCAAACACAACGAAAGCACCATGTGAATCACAAATGAAAGGGCGAATCATATGTTTGTAAGGATCTGTACCTGCCGTATCCTTATTTATAACATACGACAGTATAAATCTAGATGAAGATAATCAATATTCTTGAACTTACCCATACGCGTACTTTAATGTTTTTCCCATCGACTATGAATTGTTTCATATCAAAATCAATTCCGATTGTCGATTTCATGCATTCAGGAAATTTATCATGCATACCACGACGTAAAAGAGATGACTCGAAATAATATAATTATTTCGTATACATCAGGCAAGAATATCGAATCCTAGTAGCTTACCTTGCCTACATGGTTATCTCCGATGAGAATTAATGTATACAAGAATTCACATCTGGATTTTGTTGCAGAACATTGTGCCATTAGTTATGTTATACACAGAACAATAAAAATAGGCAATATTATTGTACCGTACAAAACAAGTTTTGTAGTACTTTTTATAATCTGAATTCTTAAAATAATACATCCTATTAAGAAAAAGAATAAGTGATCGAAAACATGAGAATAACTATTTTCTTTTAGCAATATTCAGATTACGAAGATTGACTGCGAACTGATTGTAAACGATTATATAAGTTGATTGAATTCGAATTGTCAGCAGACGGAGTTGTATGTCATTTATTTTAATAAAATGAATATTTTTTTGCATGAAGGGCACGCATTGCACACTTGATATGCTGTTATGCAATGATAAACAATCTGAATGTTTTTATCGGTTCTTATCTTTTCTTCTATTTTTATTTTCATACTAGTACCAAATCGAAATTATCTTGCTTTTTTGTGTCAACATGAATACAATGCCATGGAAAATATTAAATAGTTTTCTGTACTTTCTAACGAAATGTTACTGTTATAAAATTTGATTTCAAGACGTATGCCAGCATTTAGTTAAATAGTCATTTTTGTACATAGGAAGTAAAACATAACAAGATTGATACTGATTTTGGTTTCAGAGTCGAGCTCAGCATTGGCGATAGAAAAATACGAGTTTAGTCCTTTTGAATCTCGCTGCAGTGATTTGAATGATCAATTGTGCTGTTACACTGATGGTAGAAAAAAAATCTATCGACACTATTTTTAGTCGCTGACAACTTGTCATTTGTCGACAGCATTGACAAATAGAATAAGAACAAAGAAAATAAATGGTGAAAAGAATTTATGATAAGGACAGCAGTGTTAGCTTTTTTTTCTTAAATAAAAACAAAACTGGGTTTTGTTTCTTTGTTTTGCGGAAATAAAATCTCAACTTGTCAGTTGTTTCTTCTTGAAATAAAAACAAAAATTAAGCGTTTTACTTTTGTTTTAAAAAAGTGTCGAAACTCTGGTAAACAGAGAAGAAGAGCAATAGAAATTATCATACCTACAACTTATCTTCTTGTTTTTATCTGAAACAAAGAACAAAAATTAACACATCTGGCCTATAGCCATGTTGTAAGGGCAAAAGAGAAACAAACTACGTACGCATTTGAACATAACCAAGTAGTTCCGTTAAAAAATCAGTGACATAAACCTATCATGACAGCCAATCGAAAAAGGGTCTCTCTTTCATAGGCCGGGATTCATGTTTTATCGACAAATTTTCTTAATTACTATGATAGCTTTCATTAACATCGAACCCTACACTTGACGTACATACATTAACCATGATTATAAAGCAAAACTGAATAATCTAGCTTTGACATGGCCACTGCAGGAAAAAATAGACAAAAAAAGCCTTGAACAAACATATTTAAGGACATTCAAACATTACTGGTTCCTACAGAAGAGTAGGTGACAGAGTATACTTTCATAGCGATTATAGTAGACGGTAGAGCCTGTCGGCTCGAATCTGAAATTTGTCAGTTAACCAGGTTTGGACCCTAAACTTTCTGGACCCAACGACAATGTGGGACGTTTCCAATGACATACTAAAGTTAACTATGCCATGTCGTAGAATAAACAAGATTGCATTTCATAAGAACTCATCTATTTATTGAAATCTTGCCTGCAACTCATTTTGTGATCCAATACTTTTTGTCATGATAATATGCTTAAGGAGTACCGAAAATTACTGTGACAAACTCAGTTTTTTATGAAGAATCCAAGCATACCAATTTTGAAATCCATATGAAATAGAAATTCCTTATTTAATCATAAAAATATGCTAGGTTCTTAATGGGAAAAATGTAGTTTTCGAGCCAATGTACTGTTTAACACTATCAAACAATCTCGAGTTCTATTAGGAAGAATCCTGCACGAGAAACTAAAAAAACAAATGCTCTTATTCAGGTTGTCGAGTTTTATCTAACTATATAAAAAGAAACAAAAAAACATGGCTTACTTTTTGCATTTTGTACTCCTCAATACCTTGAAAACCTACAGATATGATGTTGAGATAGACCCTACATAATTAAAGATAGCATACCCGGTGAGCTCTTGAAAGCTATAGATATACAGGGTGGTCCAAAAGTTACCTACCAATCTTAAATTGCGAATAACTTTTGATAGAAACAAGATCTAGACCTACGGTTTTCACCATTCGAAAGAGCGATGTTCGGACCATCGATCTATATAATATTCACTAAGATGAAATATGCATTTTCATAGGAGCTTTTTAATTGACATTCTTTTTTTTGTATATTTTCATCAATTTTTACAATAATCTCGTCTCAAATTACGCCAAAATGTAGCTCAAATCATCCATTTTTCGCTATAAAATTATCACTTTATGCATTGTTCCGTCGACCTCTTTTCTCAAGTGAGCCTTCGAAAACTAGTGATACTTGTATAGCGAAAAATGGTTGCTATGAGCTACATTTTGGCGTAATTTGAGACGAGATTATTGTGAAAATTGATGAAAATACACAAAAAAAAAGAATGCCAATTAAAAAGCTCCTATAAAAAAAGCATCTTTCGTCTTAGTGAATATTATATAGAACGATGGTCCGAACATCACTCTTTCGAATGGTGAAAACTACAGGTCTAGATCTTGTACCCAACAAAAGTTATTCGCAATTTAAGACTGGTAGATAACTTTTGGACCACCCTGTAATATCAAGGTGACTAACGAAAATTTACAGATATGATGTCTTGGGGGCCCTTGGAAAGACACAGGTATCATGTCTGGGTATCTCTTAGAAAGTTATCTGAAATATATGTATTAACATAAAAAATAATGCTAATTGGATGCTACTACCTAAACACTATTTCATTCTAATGCTACATCTCGTATTTGGAAAATCCACATTAATCAGCATTCGAGTTTTTTTTTTTGCTTCTTTCAGAAGTCTGACAAAGAAGAATTTTACGATAATCTGTATTATTGAACATTCTATTTAGTTTGACTCAGGATTTCAGTTTCAATCGAAAATAAGGATAATAAATTGAACTTTACCCAGAATTAATCGTAAGCTAGAAAGCCTAGGTTTCATTTTAAGACTCAACGAAGCCTACACTTGGATCCTTAAACTTCATTGTTAAGCGACACATTCAAATCATAAACTAAATCAACTACATTGATATTAACAGGTGATTACTACAAGACTAATATAAGCTTTATCGTTCGGCTATTTTTTTGGGTAGCTAGCATGAATTTAACTGAACAATTTTCTTCAAGATCTAACTTTTTATGCGAAATCACTTTTTATCATTGAAAGTGTAGTTTTGATATGGCTTAGGCTTAACTAAGTCTTAATTTAAGCCTTCAGAGAGCTTCCACAAGAAGTTTAGATCAATGCAAAATGTTGAGCTCATTTCAACGACGAAAGAATCATAGGTATGGCTGTGAGTAAGAATCTAGATGAAGAGGAAATTCGCACTCATATCCATATCTGACCGTTGTGTAAGAACTACGTAATATTTATTTTTCTCGTCATTAGCTAATTAAGAAAAATTAAATTTACTTTCTTCATAAACAAGCATCGAAAAATTATCTCAACTTATAGTCTTAAGGAAAAATCAAAAAAAAAAATATGCACATGTACATGTCTATAGAAAAAGAAAATCTAACAATTTCCCTTTATCAAAAGTTTCATCAATATTTGATAAATAGAGAAATAAAGTTAGGAAAACTCTTTATTTCTATTGTAAAAGAAAATCGAAACAAAGAACATGCAGCTAGAAGGTGATGCAATCCTTAGGTACTAATGGCATACCTGTTCACCATATATATGTCATATTGTATTTATTACTTTCAAATTTTTATCCTTAAGAAAAAACAGTTAAAGCTTAGCATTATTAAAATAATAAAAGATAAGGCAAATGATTATAGATAGTATAAAATAATGGCAATATAGTAGCCCTAGATAGTACTTAACTTAGCATCATACTTCTCCATTCTTGAAAAAAAAACACTATAGAGACTTTTAAGTACAAATTTGATCACGTGTTCACAAACGAAATCATAGTTCGCTCATGTATCACATGTTATCATTGTATTTTGTCTATCTGATTCGAAGAGTGGTGTCATGGCAATATTCACTGATAGTTCATAATATTCTTCTATGGTTGAGTTTCTCTTAAATTCTCAATATCCGGCAAAATCTTCATTGAAACTCTATAACATGATCGTCAAAATGATTGTATTAGTTTTTATCTTCTGTGTTGATACTTATCTGATAAAAATCTGATAGTCGTGCAGAGTGAACAAAAAAACAACTTATAATTGTCAATGAGCATTGTTCGTAATGAAATTTACTTCGATTCAATATCTAATGAAACCCTAAGTGCCTGAAAAAGCCCTATTTTTCTTACACTGTTTGGAACAAAACAGATTCTCGTCACATGAAGATAAAACATCTTTATATTATTCAGAGACATCATACTGTTAAACAAAGAATACGATCGTAATATTATGCCGTGAAAGGATATAGACGGTAGTATTTTTTAGTGTTTTATATGATTCTGTAATATAATCGTATGTCTTCATGACGGTATAAGGAGACGATATTAACTGTCAACATTTGTTATAGGGTAAATATAGAAGCTCGCAAACACTTTTTTACAGCTTCTCAGGTGCGTTCTTTCGAATAGTCAACTTTGTGAAAGACGCTACTCTTGAACTAAATTGCCAAGAAAAATAAATTAATTATATATAAACAGGCTTCTAAAAAATGTCTTTTTTTCACATATCAATTCAATATAAATTTAAAAAGTTGTGTGCCTGTATTCACTATTTCGTTAAGCCACAAACCTTGAAATAAAAATGTCGATATTTGTGTCATAGGATAGTAGATGTGAATGTATATCTGAGTTGTGTCTGTTCGAACGATAGCATTCACTTCAATGGCACACTATCTGACTACTGTAGTAATTTACAGATGTTGTATTTAATGTTAACTCATTATGTAAAACATTTGTATGTTGGAATGATGAAAGTAAAGACTGACAATCTGATCGTTGAAGAAAAATCAATGCCGATCGAGTATCATGTTTCGATTTAAGAAATGTATTTCTTCCTATAATATAACTGAATTAATAACAAAGAATAAGCATGTCATGAAATAGTGAGACCAGCCTCGAAGAAAACATGATACTTGTATATTCAATCTTTGCACGTCTGGCTACACAAAAGTGTGAATCATCATTGAAAACATAACTATTTAAATTTGTAATCCCTATAATCTATATAAAGCAAACTATATAGGTGGTTATAGATCTTTTCTTCATCCACACCCTCACCCATCTTACTTTCAGCATATTACTCTGAAAGAAAATAAAAATAAGTAACTGTTATTAGTCTTCTTGTTAGTTTTGCTCACGCACCCATTACAGTAACTTTTTTCTTGTTTTTCCTGCTTCTAACTATAACAGAGGAAACCATCCGATTCTTACTCCAACAATCAGATGTAAAGTCTTGTAGATCAAATAAAATCATATCAAAATCATATGAAAAATCATCATGTGTGAACTCTTACATTCAATTTTAATACTTGATTTCTCAAAGATCTTACTAAAACATAAAATTTCCTACCATTCGATAGCGACATCTAATGAAACAATAAGACCTTTAACGAGTCTTAGAGTAGGATTGAATATAAGATCTCTGAGGAAATGATTTTTGCCTGCAATCTCTATTCAATCTTATACGATCAGATAAGAATCATAGTTAGAATTCTGCAGGACCTTATCATATGATTGGTTAATCTGAATTGGCTTATTCATTGTACAAAATTGAAGACCAACCAAACTGGATGAAGTCATACAAAACGATGATGACAACGTATCTAATAGTTTTGTGTGTTTACATGTTAGAGTGAAAAAAAACGCAAAACACAGATGCAATCACAGTGTATCAATCATGCAGTCAAGAATCCATTTGATACTTTTTCCTCTCTTTTTCTTTTTTTTTTCTTTTAATATAGGGATCAGATATTTCACTCATATCTTTGTCTACGATAAATGATACCGATGTTTTTATTGAGTCTATATAAAAGCAATTTTTATTTGGATTTCTTTTCTTCCTTTCTTGAATGCTTATTTGTTTTCTTTTTTTCTTTTTTCACAAAATATTCGTTTCACATTAAAAAACAGTTTGTCTCGATATAAAAATCAAGTTTGCTTTATATTTTTCTTGTTACAGATTTTGTTCGTTCGTCTACTATGTCTACGGAAGCAGACAATAGTGGTCGATCGGCCGGTGCTAGTGGTCGACTGCTTAATCGTGTAACAAATACCTTGATTCACAGTGATTCAATTATTGCATCTAACAGAACGGACGCTTCTGTTACTAATAATAACGGACAATCTTCAACATGGGTTGATATATTAACTCAGCTTGATTTTGTATGTTCTGGTAGTCTACTTCGTATATGTTACAATGTTATTGATATTATTCTTCTTTCTATTGGTCTTTACTATGGTACAAAAACGTGTAGTGTCTCGAATCGTTTTGTAGTACTATCAATTTGCATACTAATTTTTGGTACTATCACACTTTGCTCTACTCTTCTTTGTTTTGTTCGAAACTGCTCATTGTACCGTATGACTCAATTGGAAGCAACAAATTCGGATCGATATCGTCAAGGATCTTCTCTACGCAGTATTTTTCATTTTCTCAAACTTATTACCGCTATCATCGGTATCTTTCACGTATTTGCATCGAAAAAGCCAACAAATAATGATTGTCAACTTATTCGTTTCTATCTTGGTATTGTATGTTTCAATACATGTCTTTTAACTTTTATGTCACCACCAAAACCTTCACTACCGATACGACGATCATTAATAATGGAATGTCTTATAGTTATTGTACAGATTATTGTTGATCTAATTTACTTGGGTGTTGTAGCATTTGCTACTATTAAAACTAAAAAAATAGAATGCGAATACACTAGTATTGAAGATCTATATTTCGGTGCACCACTCAAATTATATGCCTATATTGGACTTATTTTAGCTGGTTGTACTATTGGTATTAATCTACTTGGTGCCATTATCAATCAACTTTTTTATCGTTTAACAAATTTACGAAGACTTTTCATATATTTATCAGCAATTCATTATATGATATCTTATTCTATAACTGTCGTTATAATTTACTATTATGCAATTGGTGCCGTTCTTCTATTTCAACCTCGTGTAGGTGGATTGTGTGCTGTAGTAGCTCCCGATCTTTATAGAACTCTTTGGATATGGCAATTAATTCGCATTTTTTTTCCATTCATTATTTGGCCTCTTACATTTCTTGTTTGTTGTCTTGGATTTACAATTGGTGGTTGTCTTGCACTTTGTCTTCCAGCATCGATTACTGTTCCACTTCTGACAATGCTTAATGTATGTCTTGTTTTTAAAGATTTGAAACTTGACTGTTATTCTTTCTATTTAGGAAAGAATAACAACTATATCTCCTACATCCAGTGAAAATCCTCCTTCATCACCAGGTACTATTGATGCCTTACCAATGGTAGCTTTTGATCAAGCATCTGATCAATTCAATCAAACTGAATGGTTAGTAAAAAAAAATTATATGAAATATCTTTCAATAATAATCTCTTATTTTTTATTTTTCATTTTAAATATTTTTCTAGTACTATTTGTCAAGTGGATTATCAGGCTAATGAAAAAGTAAAAAAACTACCATGTGGTCATATCTTTCATGATAGTTGTGTAGCTCAATGGCTGTCAATAACAGGTATATGTCCTGTTTGTCGTCATCACATTCCATCGGCGCATGTGTAAAATATTTATTTTTTTCATTTACATTTATGTATATAATTTATATTTGAGTATTCATCCTATGTAAAATCAAGAAGGCAAATCTTTTTTGATGAAATAAAATTAACTAACAATGTTTTGTTTTTTTTATCATTATATCGAACAGACATGAAGCGAAATAACGAGATAGAAGGGTGTGGATGATGGCAAAGAGATAATCCACACCAATAAACAAACCTCAAATGAGTTTCTTTTGCAGATAAATTGCATGAAAATGATGACATTAGTTATTTATTATCCGAGAAAAAAAAAGGCATTTCTTTGATCTTTTAAGTTAAAAGAAAGGATTGCACTTGTGGAATTTAATCATATACGCATAACTAAATATATCGTAGTTCTTTCTAAAAAGACGAAATAAAATGTACTCGTTCATATTTATATTATTGTTTTAGTATAAAATATCTTATCACAAAACCTAATCATTTTACAATTGAGAATCATATTATCTTCGTTATGAAATCATGTGAATCCAGCATCATTACAAAATCATTATTCTTATATCTATAATGACATTGATAAGAATATTAAAGAGCACGACCTTATATTCGATATATAAAAAGATAAAAAAAAAAAAACTGCTCGGCATTCTAATCTTATTTTTCAAATCTTCAGTTATTAACTCCTATACTTGATCATTACATAAATATGTGTAATTATAAGAGAATGCGCATTGGTTTAATAAATAAATTGTTTTCTATACTTGATGAACCTATCATGGTCATTTATTCTTTATGTATGAATAAAAATTAGATAGTACTAATTGAACTTAAATGCGAACTATAGTTACTCATAAGTTATTTTAATAAGAATGCTCTGCAAATAGTATTGAATATTTGTCAATTGACTGCATTTTTTATTGAAGAATTTTCAAAAAAAAATCTTGTAAATCTTTACGAAAGATCAAATCTTTTTAAATATTTTCTTTTTCTATCACTATTCAAATAAAAATCTAAATGATTAAATGTTATATATATTCTATCAGCTAGATTGTTATTCAGATGTCATCTATTCAAAAACCTACCATCAACAATTACTAGTAAATTAGAAAACAATAATAAATAGAATCAATCCGATTCAAATAATGTTGAATATTGTGGCCATTGTTCGAGTTACACAAGTAAAGGTGACTAAGTAAACTCATACAATCGTTCCTATCAATGCAACTTAAATAAATCTAATTACAATTGAAAAAATCAAATAATTTATAGATGCAACCTTCCTTCGTTGTTTTTGTGTCAATAAGCAATAACCATTGCAATTTCTCGATGGTATTTAATAGCACAAAGTACAAACTATTGTTTTTTGTACATGAAGTTTTCACATTGTCTAAAATATATATTTTCATATAAATTTTACAAATTATCTTAATTGTAAAATTGAAAATTTATCCTTAACTATGATTAGCATCAATAGATAATCAGTATTATATTGTGATGCCTTAGTTCATTTAAGTGGTTATGTTCTGATTGATATCATTAGATTAAAAATACTTAGAATTGATTCATGTTAACTATATTCATAGATTATGATAATTTATGTTGTTATCGTAAATTTTGTCGATATTTGCAGATTTTCACTTAATCAAATAACAACGACTGCAACATTCATGGATGCATCGAAATCTTTCATAATATTGTTAGCTTTAATTTATTGTATGCTAGTTCAATAAATGAAAACTCGCATGAAAAAAAAACATTATTTTTTTTTATTAAAATAAACTCATTTTAACGGCCATAATGTGTATCAATGGCTTTAATAGCTTCGGCATAAGTTTTTGGAAAAAGCAATCCAATTCGTTTTTGTCGATGTTCTTCTTCTTGTCTATATAATTCAAGTAATTCTTGAAATTTTTCATCAGTCATACCAAGTTTTTTTGCTAATGCATCTATGGCATCAAGTTCTCGTGTTTTTAATGCACCATCAGCAGCTGCTGCTCGAAGTCCATCATAAATAAGTTCAGCTTGAAAATGTTCAGCAATTTTTAATTTACTATCATTATTAAAAATAGCTGTCGTATCTTCAGAACCTATTTTATATTGTTTAAGAATATCAAGTTCTTCTTGTTTTACACCTAAAAATTATATTCTAAAGATTTATTATTATTTAATTCTTTTCAAATAAAACAACTTACCACGTATTGCTGCATAACCTAAAATCCATTTTCGTTCCGCTTCAGTAAGTATACCATCAGCACCAGCTACATCCAAAAGTGCTTTAGCATATTTAGCAGTAATATTACCTTTAGGTGGTCTATCTTTATAATGAAAATAATCATGATATATCCATTGAGTTATTAATTGATCAACTGCTTGTTTAGACATTTGAAAACGAGAGCAACTATTTCAAGGGCAATGACAGAAACTAAATAAGTAATATCACACGATGTGATTCAATATATAGATACAAGTAATAATAAATCGTTTCTTTTTATTAGTTACTCATGTGTGACGAAATGAACACAAAAGCAATGGTGTGACCCATGGTAGAAAAGAGAAATGAAAAAGAAATATACAATAAAAAAAAAACATGCGACAAATATTTGATTTGTTGATATGTTGACGAGCAATGATTAAATGATTCAAACATTTATGAAAAAAATATCAACAATCATTTATTTTTAGACTCAATTCAACGTATCCATACTATGACAACCTACTCTGTCTCTTTTTTTCTCTTAGTTTTTTACTCGAAACAGTTAAGACTGTTGGTTGATTTTGATGAAACCGATACTGTTCAAAATAATAAGTTCAATGAAAAGATTGAAAATTTTCCTTCCGTACAAATGATGAGACCTAAATGGACATAAATTTCAATCTTAAACGGTTTTGATGTTTTCTTTGACTCGATATTGATGAAAAAAGCTAAATTTGATACATAATCACTAAAAAAAGGTTATGATTGACTTATTTATGCAGCAATATACGAACTCTAAAATTAGACTGGTTGAACTCATCAAAGTAATAATAACAATTTATCATACATTTTGAACGAAAGATCGAGAAGATGAAATTATAATGATGTCTTACGAATCTCGGGAAAAATACATTGAATGTGCTGTCTTTCAAGTAATATGATTTCCTTGTCTACAAACAAGTTTTGGAAAAAATTGTAGAAACTCAATGATAGTATATCTCGAATTAAAACTCTTTTCATACACAATTGAATTTTAAGTAGTTTCAAACTTTTAGAATTACCTTAGGTTGTTATTATTATGTCTTTTGGAAGAAATTCTTAAGTTTCGTACTAAAATCATAGTCAAATATTTGCGAAGAAAATCATGTTTAATTTATCTGTTTTTCGGTCTGATTTCAATAGAAACTAGAATCGTACTACAATAAGTGTCATCTATTGAAAATCATTGTCATTTTTCAAGTTTTCTGAGACAGAATTAAATTTAAATTAACAACACAGTAATCTACCAACTTTTTGATTTTAGTAAGATTCTTTGTTACTCTTTTACAATCAAAAATGAATGACAGAAGCAATATTTATATACACAACGTCATCTTTATTGAAAGAGATTTTTTCAATTCAAGTATCTTGTATAAGCGTACTGAGACTAAAGAATAACATGTTAGCCCTAAAGAGTTGTGCTAACAAGCTTTTTCATACGTTATTGAGATCTATCTTGTGTATAGCATTCAAACTCAAAAATGCTTCATCAATTCGAACAGTCTCCTAGCTACATTCAATGGTTGATGCATAGTTAAATGTAGCAGTCTGGCGATTGTCTTTTACTTAAGAATATATCATTTAAGAGACATCTATTGTTTCGTGCAGCTAAACTCTTTATTTGAATACGAAACGAACGAATAAGAAAGTTTTCAAAAGGTTTTTTTCTGTTCGCTTTTTACTTTAATATTATATATCAATGTTACGTTTAGGAACAGATAATGATTTTGATGCACTCTATTCAATCTATATGCATCCAGTAGTTAATCCATATTTAAGTTTTGAAATTATGAGTAAAGAAGAATTTCTACCATTATTTAATGAATTAACAACATCTGGAACATTGTATGTATATGAGAATAGTGACGGACAAGTAGCAGCTACATGTATTGCACAACATTTAAAACGACGTTTTTCACATACTATTTGTTTATCAACATTTGTAACAAATCCAAATTTTCATCGTCAAGGTATTGGTACAAAATTTCTACGTGAAATAATTAATGAACTAAGAAAAGATAAACCAATTAAACGTATTGAATTATTTGCAGAAGTTGATAATGAAATAGCTTTAAATTTTTATAAAAAATTTGGTTTTCAAATAGAAGGACGCTTAAGACAATCTTTTAAACGTGTACAAGATAATCATTTTGTTGATGAACTAGCTTTGTCAATGATCTTCGACTAGAATTTTAATGGAATGTTCAGTGATTTCTTTTTGTTTTTATAAGATTAGTTTTTGAATGATGAAATATAATTGTCTTTCCAATTTTATCTTATTGTTTTTTTTGTATGAAGTAATGATTCTTATCTTATCTTATCGATTAAAATAAAAATTGTTCACATCAAATTGTTTGTTTATTAATATGGAAACTATACAATAAGATAGTTGAAAAGAAACACGTTTATCTTTATGTTAAACACAAAAAAAAGCTAGTTGGTAGTGATTTATTCAAAGATTTTTCTAGTTCGAATATCGTCAGTTTTTAAAAGAAGGATACGAAGCGAAGTATGCATCACTTAAGAAAATCAGTTTCACAGTGTTTTAAGAATGATTACCATACAGCGACAGGTATGGAGATTTACTTATTCTTGCTAGAAGAAATATTCGCATGAGGGAGCTATTCCGACTGAAATCTACTGTTTGAGTACATAACGAACCACCACAGATGTCTTAGAAGGGTAAAGGAAAGACTCGCAACCCATCGTGAATTTCATTTGAACATGCTGTTAAAAGATTCAGTTAGGTTTTATGAATATCAGTGAAAAATTTCATAAATGATACGTTTTCAAATGAATTGTTCGTGTTAAGAAAAATTCGTTAATTTTGTAATAAAAGAAAAATCTCATTAAATTGACTTCAATTAGTCGTTTCAGTGATAAATAATAATCATAAATTTAAACAAGTATCATTTTGAATATAAAAATGAAACAGTAAACATGTAAACCAAGAAAAATAGCTCTATTCATTAAATAGGAATAACTAGTAAATGAAATACTAAAATTGGATCTTTTTTGTTAGCAAACTTTTCCAGCTACACTATTGCGATTATTGTAAAAGAGCTATATTACTTTCAGGTAACAGAAAAAAAAGAGAAACCGATACAGTCAAGATGCAACAGAAATACAGAAGACAAATGATGGAAGTGAAGCGTAGCAGTTCTCTATCGTTCCACTGAACTCGACGTATGCATATTGTAGAACAAATATTATTTGAGTACCTAGCTAAAGATTATCTATTAGTATGTAAAAAAAAAACTTCTATCATAAATAATGAAAGCTATATTTTTAAACATCTCGTTATCTTTATAATGGTATAAATCATACGGAAAACTTAATTCTGTTCTGTTGAATATTGTTCATTACAAATTACTTTTTTCTTTTAAAAGGTGGATCCACTAAATTTATCATCATACAATGATAGAATGTGTTTTGATAAAATCATCATCTTTCTATATGATCCTATTAGAAAATCGAATAACATGAAACTACGTTAAATGTTGTGGTTGCCTTTTTTACTGTTGAAAGGTCCACAAAATTGCTTTTGTTTATATATTGATCAATATCTATGGATACTACAGTTTAATACCCTTAAACCAATCACATATAACTAGCAATGCTGCAGACGATTTCTTGGGAGACTTTGTTATAAGATTATATGTGGTTGTTTTCTTATCAATTCATCACTTCAAACTACTACTCTACCAATTTATTTGATTCGTTAGACATAATTGTATCGATGCATTGTTAGATACATCTTTAATGCATCACTTCTTTTCTTCTAATGGTAATATATATGATACATGCCATAGGAAAACCGTCAGTATCATTTTATTCTTCGTTTCATCGGTTCAACAATCGTATTGACCTGCTATACACATCGATCTAATTAATTAGTACACAATGGCAATTGATTTTTCACTTGTCATCCTTAATTTATTAGGACACAACGGGACGTAGGGTACAAAAAGTTCGATTTAAACTTGCACTCACTATATTTTCCTTGAAAATACAGGCTCGTTTCTTACACAAAAACCCTGGTAAAGAATAGACAAAACATTTGTTCGACGTACAGCAACCAATAAGATTCTCTGGCGATTGTCTTAGGAAGCGGCTTCAGTCTGCAAGGTTTTTTTCGCTTTACCTATCTATTATTATCATAATAAGGCTAAAGAATACATGTGAAATCCACATCTGTGTCCCAAAGGAGCTGCTTCAATAAGCTTCTTTATACCGCACTAGGATCTACCTTGTGTATAGCATTCAAACTCAAAAATACTTAATCAATTCGAACAGTCCCCTAGCTACATTCAATAGTTGATGCATAGTTAAATGTAGCAGTCTGGCGATTGTCTCTTACTTAAGAATATATCATTTAAGAGACATCTATAGTTTCGTGCAGCTAAACTCTTTATTTGAATACGAAACGAACGAATAAGAAAGTTTTCGAAAGGTTTTTTCGTTTGCTTATTACTTTAATATTACATATCAATGTTACGTTTAGGAACAGATAATGATTTTGATGCACTCTATTCAATCTATATGCATCCAGTAGTTAATCCATATTTTAGTTTTGAAATTATGAGTAAAGAAGAATTTCTACCAATATTTAATGAATTAACAGCATCTGGAACATTGTATGTATATGAGAATAGTGACGGACAAGTAGCAGCTACATGTATTGCACAACGTGCAGAACGACGTTGTGCACATGTTGTTAGCTTAACAACATTGGCAACAAATCCAAATTTTCATCGTCAAGGTATTGGTACAAAATTTATGCAAGAATTAATTAATGAACTAAGAAAAGATCAACAAATTAAACGTATTGAATTATTTGCAGAAGCTGATAATGAAATAGCTTTAAATTTTTATAAAAAACTTGGATTTCAATTAGAAGGCTGTTTAAAAGGATATTTTAAACGAGCACAAGATAATCATTATGTTGATGAACTTGTTTTGGCAATGGTTTTCGATTAGAAATTTCATGAAATGTTCAATATTTTTTTTTTTTATGTAAATAGAAAATTATAGATATTTCAATTTTAGCTAATTGTTTTTTGTATGAAGAAATGATTCTTATTTAATCAATTGAAATTTTAATTGTTCGCATGTAACTGTTTCGATATTCATTTGCACAGTGCAATAAAATATTTAAAAAGAAAAACTTCTATCTTCGTGTTAACTAAGTAATAAGCGAATATTTAGTGATATATTCGAAGATTTCTTTTTTTCATGATAATATCGCATATATTTAACAGAAGAATATGCAGCTAAGCATATATTACTCGAGAAGATCACTTTTAAAGTATTTTAAGAATGATTACTATACAATGAAAGATATTGAGAATCTTATTTTGCTGCTTCATCAAAGAAATATTCACATTAAAGAAACTACTCGGATTCATGCCTGCTGTTTGAGCTTATAGTGAACCATCATGGATGATGTAGTGAGACTAACAATTGTACAACAATTTGTATCTATCAATCATTGAGCCTTAGTTATGATCATTTCACTGAATGTTGTGGAATCTGTGTAGATTTTCGAAGGAAATAGTCAGTGGAAATTTTATGTAGAAGTTTTGCAGTCCTCTCCACTCCATTAAAGATCCTAGCCGCCAAGAACAATACGCTTTAGACTCTTTTCTCAGAGTTCCTTAGCAATAGAGAAAAGCAATAAATGGCTACGTGTATGGATAAAGGTAATACTCATGTCCACATATCCATACTCTTTGTGTTTTATTCAATCATTAGATATTTGTCGATGTTTTGAATTTCTACAATAAAATCAACAAAAAGAAATTTCTATTATCGACATTGATTTCGTTTTAGAAGATTAACAAGTTTCCTTTTTTCAATGAAAGACTCATATATTTTTTTTATGCTTCTTCAATTTAGGTTAATTTATATGAACAAAAAACGGGATTTGCAAGAGAAAATATAGAATTACACTTCATTTTATTTTGTTATCCATTCGATCATGATATTTATGTAATTATATGAAAAAAAAGTGTTGAAGAAAAATAGTTTTATTTAAATTGTGTGATTTTTTTTTACAGTAACCATTTTGAGTGAGTTTCTACGTAATTCAGTGCAGATGATGTAAAATTGATTAAGTATTCAATGATTAACAAGATAAATCAGTTAGTTTTTTATCAATCTCAATGAAACTTGTTGGTAAAGACTTTTTTTTTCATGAAATAATTGAAACTAGAACATAATATTTATACTTCGAAAATTTACTCTATAATCATTCTTTTGACCACAGTTGAGTTATTCCAGGGTACATTCATAAGCAATGAAAAAGTTCCAACCTATTTTGAAGTATTTAGATAAGACTTTTGTTAGTATCGCATATAAATGATTATGAAGATTCTTTAGACTTTGGCATTATTTGGATCGATTTTTGTTTTTTTATTTTTGCTTTTACACTCTTATTTCAATTGTTATTATAGATAAAATAAATATATATATCTGTTTATCTTTATTACATTTTCTATACTCAAAAAATAACAAAAACAAAACTATTTCAATTATCACTATCAGTTACATAAGTAGAATAGAAAAATAAAGTAAAATAAGACGTATATAAATCATTGAAATTATTCAAATAATATTTTTTTATTATCAGAATGTAATACTAGAAATATTGACTGTAATTTATGTTATTTTTTTTTTTGTTTTGAATATTCTTAAATGATCAAATATTTTGAATTTACTAATTCTCTCAAGTCATCAATTAACTTTTATTTTATTGATTCCTACTATACTTTCACTTATACTATTTACATTACAAATTTTATTTATAATCTATTCAAATTTTTATATATTTTTCTTGCAAGAATATTTACATTAATAGCATCTGTTTCATACTTTGATATAGAGTCTCTGATGATTCATTCAAATCAGTAGTTGTCACTCATTTTTTTTTGCTGCATTCTAACTTAGTAATTGATATAGAATAACGTAAATTAAAAATAAACGCATTAATAGAAAATTCTTTATGATATCTAAGATATTCTAGAGAATTTTTACAAACTTTACAAAATAGAATGTAAAAAATTTTTAGAAAAGTTAGTTTTCAAGATTAAACCTTCTCATGATGCAAGATATTTACTAATCATAATTTTTAGTGTATTTGAAATTTTTTTTTGTAATGAAAAACTTCTTTAATGATCATTTCAAAATTTGATATTTTTTAGCAGGTGTCACCTGCTATAAATAAGTGTTCCGGCTCTGATATTACAGAAGTTGTTGACATCAGAACTTCACATGAGATAGAATGGAACGAAAAAAAAGTCGTCTCATGAGATGGGTCAGCTAAAAATAACGTTTCCATCCCATTTTATCTCATGCGACAAATGAGATGGAATGGAATAATCCCATCCTACACGATAATATAAGAAGATAGAGCATTCTTAAATATTACCACATATACATTGAGAAGTAATTTCAAAAACAAAATAAAATACTCAAATCATCAATAAAACATAACTTAAATATATTGTTCTTCCATATCTAGCGCTCTCTATTACTGAAATTAACCAATCATCCATGATTTCTTTAAATCGACTATTTCCATGATGACTCATAGTTAACTCATGTAATGAATGAGAAGAATATAATATAGACCTACTTTTTTTTGTTTTTTAGAAAATAAGAAATCTTTGTATTAATCAATGGTAAGCATTATTTTGTTTTCTATATTTCACTTATTTTTTTCCTGTAGAAGAATAAATATATGAATGCTGACAATAATGATGATGATAATGAGGAAGACATTATACTCGATCGTAAAACTTTAAATCTTAAAGCAAAACAAACATTAAGTACATCAAGTTCATCACCTTTTGGCCCTAATCATCTTAACATTGGAGTTTATGATGATTCTAATAAATTATCAAAAATAAAAACAATTATTTTAGCTACTACTTGTATATCAATGGTATGTACAATAATTTCTAAAATTCTACGTCAAAGTTTAGAGAATTTCATTTTCATAGAGGAAAATATCTCGTAGAATTTGTAAATAGAACTTCGTTTATATTATTTAAAATGATAAAAGAAATAATTCTCTACAAAATGTAAAACGTTCTTCAACTTTTCGTTTTTTTTTTGATTGAGATATATCAATGAAATAAAAGAAAAATGTTAGAAGATATTTGTTCTATTATTTTTTTTTTGTAGTTTCAAGAGATAAAAAGCTTGAATTTCGGCTTTTCTAAAATTCTATTTTTAGAAAAATTAACAATTATTTTTCTCTAAGAAAATAAAATACTTTACATCAATCATTATTTAAATTCTTCTTAACGATTATGACAATGGAAAAAATAATAAATTTTATTTTCTGATGTTTTCAATACAAACTGATGTATTGTGTAGAAGTTTCAATGATGTTTGATAAAGATCTATAAATATATATTTAGAAAAGTTTATATGTTAAGATTAAATTTTTGACAAATAAAATTTAGTTGATTCTATGTAGTAGTCTTGTGTAATTAGAATATTCTTTATTTTCATTTGCATCTTTTATTTTATTGAAAGGGTATGTTTACTGGTTTATTGGGACCAACATTTCCATATCTAGCACAAAAAATGTCTACGAAATTATCATCAATTATATGGTTTATTGTTGTGAAAGGTATTGGTTTTCTTATTGGAACTTGTTTAAGTTCGTATCTTTATACATGGTAAGAAAACTTTTTTTGTTTTGTTTTTTAATGTATTGAAATCATTGAATTATTTTTATATTAATTTAGGTTTAATACATGTTGTTTACTTGGTTTATCTTGTTTATCAATAAGTTTTGGTGTTTATTCACTTTCATCTATAATAGATTTAACAACATTTTATTTAATTTCACTTACACTTGGTATTGGTTTTGGTTTAACATATAATGGTAAGAAGAATATGATGAATTTATCAAAAAAACATTATTTTCTTTTTCAGGTATTGATGCACTTTATAATCGTGTATGGATTCGTCCATCAATATCATCTATTCGTTGGTTACATTTATTAGTTGCTTTAGGTGCAATTATTTCAACATTAATATTACTTCCATCTACATTTTCAATTGATAAAAATCTTTCATCAATAACAAATATTACTCGTATGTATAAGAATTTAAAGATGAGAAAAAAACAAATATTTCTATTGTTTTTCTAATAAAGAATCTATACGACCACGTCGTGCAATAATGAATAATACAGATTTATTATTTAATCAAACAATTTCTTCTACAACTATTAATATGATAACAAAATCATCAAAAGTTGTATCAGAAAATTTAATAAGTTCATTTTATACTAAATCATCTTTTAAAATACAACAAACAATTTCAAAATCTATTTGTATTAAATCTTATTGTTGTTATGATCAGAATAAGCGAAATAATATATTTATATGTCAAAAATATATAAATAATCAAACAAATAATTGTAAAAATGTTTTCTTATCATGTGAAACATTAAATTCAACTATTTGTTATATTGATAAAATTCATACATGGTGTCGAATTGAACAAATATGTGAAAATGACACAATATCAAATTGTTCTAGAGAATTAATTGATATAGCTATTCATATAAACAATTTTACAACAATAAAATCATTATCATCAACAAGTACTACTAATTTACCTTTAACATCAAGTAAATTTTATATTAATTATTTCTTATAAAAGAAAAAAGAACGAATTGTTATTTTTGTTTTTTGTTTTTGTTAATAGCTTCTACAATAAACATAACCACTAGTGTTCCTATAAGTATTACTCAAACAACAGTAAATAATATTTATTTAAATATAACTCAAATATCAACTAATCGTTATAATAAACCTTCAATGGCTGAATCAGATAAAGATGATCTATCAAAGAATTTTTTTTATTTAAAAATTCGTTTAATTTTTCATTCAATGACATTAATTGATTTACTTTATTTATGTATTTCATTATTATTTTTTCTATTGGGTATATTATATTCAATATTAGCAATGCAAAATGAAAAAATAAATTTATTATCAATTAAAAATCTTAATCCATTATCATTATTATTTATTCAACCACATCGAATAATAAATAATTTAAATAAACAAATCTCATTATTATCTGATTATTCATCATTTAAATTTATATTTCTTCTTATATTATTCTATTTTATTTTATCAGGTATTGAACATTCATGTATTTATTTAATATATTTATTTGGTAAAAATTTTCATTTATCTGAATATCAATGTTTATTATTTCAATTTTATTATTTATTTGGTCGTTTAATTGATATATTAATTAATTATATATGGTTTTTATTAAATAAATATTTTAATAAAACACAAACAGATTTTATTTCAATAAAATTTCTAATATTTATTCGTTTAATTATATTAACATTAATTTGTTTTTTTAATTTATTTCATCAAATATATTATTTTGTATTTTTTTCAATTGGATTTTTTTTAACATCATTATCAAGTTTAATATTATATTGGATTGAACGTGATTTAAGTTTAAATGAATTACTTCTTCGTATTATATTATATACAATAATAATAAGTGAAATTATTTTTCCTATATTTATCTTTTATAATATTGAATATTTTCTTCAATTTTATTTATTAATTAGTTTATGTTTATTGACTTTTTTCTTTATGATTATTATATATTCAAGTAAAAAATGGCAAAGAAATAGATCCTATCGTTTATTACCAGAATCAATGGATTTAGATGAAATAGAATTTGAAGAAAATTCGGATAATGAAACATGAAATAATTCGAAATTAATATATTGATAAAATAAGTTTTTTTTTTTTTTTTAAATTTCTTTACTAAATAAATTTAAGTTAATGTCTGTATTTTTTTTCCGGTGAATAATGGTTTCTATTTGTTTGATAAAATACATTTAAAAATGTTTGCTGTAACTTTTTCTTTTAAGAATCTTATTTTTGATGATCTCGAAATATTTTATGTTACTGATAAATTTAATAGATCTTTGAATGATTTCATCTATATAAGAAAATAAAAAGTTATTGTTTGCAAATCTTTTGTTTTTTTTCTTACAATTATCAATGATGATTGAGCAAACTGTTCTGAATGTCGTCGGGTTGTGATAAAAAGTCTGTTTCATTTGTATTCAATTACATTCCGTGAAAATATTGTTTTATTTTATAAGATAGAATCCTTCTGTGGGAATTTAATTATATATATATATATTTTTGATTTGTCAAATGCATATGCTTCAATATGGATCGTTTTTATTGACATTTGTACTACAAATAGAAGTTTAATGAATCTTGATTGCAGGCACTCTTAAACCGAGCTCTATTCTCTTCGTAAAACTCAGATTGAAGGTCAATAATAAGGAATTTTTGAGATTATATGATCTCAAGCCAGAAAACAGATCTTAAGATGTTCAAAACCTGATTGAAAAGCTTGGCTCTTGCTTTCTTATTGATAGATATTTCATCAAGTTATGAGTCAATCTCCATCGATATACAGATACCGGAAAACTTCTAAATCGTCCGGTATTTAACCCACATATCGGGCTAAGTTCAATCGTTTGCCTTGAGCATTGCAACTCAGAATGTTATACTAGTCTCGCTTTATTTCGTAGCTTTGAGAATTATAACTATTAAGAAAAAGAAAGAGTTTCACACCAGTCTATATATCAAGATCACCACTTCTCCATAGTCTTACAATTAGAGCGGGCCGGACTGCATTTTATAGTGCGAGTAGAACCAACAAGAGAACTATCTATTTTACTAAAAATATTGTTTAGATTTCATCAAATTGAAAAAAAATTTAACTTGTTAAAATTTTGTTTTATTTTTTTAACTTGAGCGAAATTAATTGAATCATATCAAACTTCATAATGAGATTATTGCTCATCTCAAAAACAATATTTTGTTATTATCTATCTTTCAAATTCTTTTTCCAAAGCATGAGTTCTTTTTCTAACTCAAGAACGAAAAACATCTAAAACATTGTTTTTTCAAATGGGAAATATTCCCGTTTTGAAGTTTTATATAAGAGTTGTCATGTCAATATACCGATCGAAGTTGACTCATAACTTAATGAAAGGATCTCGTTTTTTTAAATGAAATATCTATCAAGAAGAGAGCAATAGTTAAGCTATTCAATGAGACGTTGAACATCTTTAGATCACTTCTCGAGTTTGAGATCACACTATCTGAATAGTTTTTGTCTAATTATGGGACTTATATCCACGACTCTAATTTATTAGTAATTTAAAGCAAAATTTCATGTAACTATCATAGATCTTATAATAAAAGAGACAGAACATTTATATAAAACTATTTAAGAAAAACGTGTATTACATTATTATTTCTTATTTTGTTTGCAAACATATTAATTAACCAACAGTTGGAACCCTTGTCACAATACCTCGCTTATCGACAAAAATACGTACGCGATTCGTACGATAATCTGTTGTCATCACTGATCCTTCTTTGACTGTTATTACGTCTTTAAAACCTATTTTCAATTATAAAAGAAAACTTCAACATGTTTTCAATATAAGAATATTACCTGTTTGCTTTTTAATAATTCGAATTGCTTCTTGGCCATTTCTACCAACTAATTCAGGCCATTCACTTTTTTCAGGCACCGGTGTTGTTTCTAAAAGTATCGATAAAAATTTCACAGAACAATTTTTTTTGTCCTTACTTTCTGCAAGTCTGACAGGTACTTCAATGCGGTAGTCTAGATCAACATTAAGTGATGTTACTCGAAGAGGAACTTCATTGGTGTATAATAATTCACCATTTTCATTTCTAATATTGGCCTTTAATGCATATGTATGTTTATCAACAATTTGATTGGATGAATAGCTTATTCCAAATACCACTGGGAATTGAATGACTTTACTTGTTCCCGTTGCAACTACTTTTGGTGGCCTATCAGGTAATGATATATCTTGTAATTCAACTGTTAATGTTCCATCTGATTCAATTGGTGTTGGTGAACCTTCAGGAAACGTAACGCGACCAGTTAAGATAAAGTGTCTTCCACTTGTTGAAGGATTTGCTCTGCCTTAAAAATAGAAAAATTTTTGAAAAATAACCGTTTTTTTCTCTCCTTACCTTTGACAAGTCTAACAGGTATTTCAATACGATCCCTTAGATCAATATTAAGTAATGTTACTCTAAGAGGAATATCATTGGTATATAATAATTCTCCGCGCTTATTTCTAATATTGGCCTTTAATGCATATGTATGTCCATCAACAACTTGACTTGATGAATAACTTATTCCAAATACTACTGGAAATTGAATGACTTTACTTGTTCCTGTTGCAACTACTCTTGCTGGCCTATCAGATAATGATATATCTTGCAATTCAACTGTTAATGTTCCATCTGATTCTATTGGTGAAGGTGAACCTTCAGGAAATGTAACACGACCAGTTAAGACAAAGTTTCCACTTGTTGAAGGATTTGCTTTGCCTTAAAAGTAGAAAATATTGAAAAAGAACATTTTTTTTGTCCTCTTACCTTTAACAAGTCTAACAGGTACTTCAATGCGGTAGTCTAGATCAACATTAAGTGATGTTACTTGAAGAGGAACTTCATTGGTATATAATAATTCACCACGCTTATTTCGAATATTGGCTTTCAATGCATATGTATGTCCATCAACAATTTGACTTGATGAATAACTTATTCCAAATACCACTGGAAATCGAATAACTTTACTTGTTCCTTTTGCAACTACTCTTGCTGGCCTATCAGGTAATGATATGTCTTGTAATTCAGCTGTTAAGGTTCCACCTGATTCGATTGGTGTAGGTGAACCTTCAGACAATGTAACACGACCAGTTAACATAAAATTTCTCTGATGTTTTGGTGGACTTGCTCCATCTTAAACATAAACAAATATTAGAATACAACGAAAAAACAAACAAACGATCTATATTAAATACATTTACCATTGAAACCAATGAAGTATATAATACTAATAGCAAGATATAATTTATTCATAATTCAATCTGAAAAATATAATTTAAATGTATAACATTTTCGTAAGAACATTTTATTTGCATCTTAGATATAGGGATATATCTATACTATATAAAGAAATACAAAGAATAATGTCTATTTCTATAGAGAATGTATGTATACAAACGATACCAAATTAATATCATCAAATGTCGCCCCTTATCTTTTTTTGCCATTCGATAGGCAGTTTTCTCATCTTTCTTTTTTTTTGTCAGACACTTAGAAGCAAAATGGCAAAAGAAACATCCTGAAAATAATTTTGAATTTTTCATACCTATGAAAATAATGGCACACAATGTCGATCCATATATTTTTTTCTTAAAATACATATTCGGAAGATAATTTTTTTTACTAGAATAAGACATTTTCTCCTTTTGTTTTTATTCTTTTTAAAAATTTTCTACATTTCCTAATTATCATTAACGTTCTTCCACGTAAATTTTATTTGTCTATATTTTAAATACTTATTCA